CCTTCGCCCCCGGCCCCGCGCCCGCCCGGCAGCTACAATGAGGTGAGTTCGCGGCCGCGAGCGGGCCTGCGCGGCGGGGCCTGGGGGTGAGCAGCGGGCACGTCCGCAGGCCGCGAGGCCCGGAGGCCGCGCCGAGGCGGCTCTGCCGCTCTTTCATTGTACTTTCTCTTCTCTCCCATTCTCGTACCTTTTCCCTTTGCTCGTGCACCCCGGAGTGGTGCAGGAGCCGTCGTGCACCCCGGGTTGGTGCAGGAGCTTGGGCTGGTGCAGGAGGCCATCGTGCACCCCCCCCACCGGGGGCTGATGCCAGTAGCCGTCGTGCATCCCCCGAGGCTGGTGCAGGAGCCCGTCGTGCACCCCCCGGGGCTGGTGCAGGAGCCGTGGTGCACCCCGGGGTGGTGCAGGAGCCCCAAGGCATCGCCCTTTGATTTGCCTTTCAGGTCGGGGGCGGCTCTGGAAAGAGTTATTGTGGACACCCTGGAACTCCAGGTCCCTCTTCCAGCCGCCGGACCCATTTTCCCTCTCCAGACCAAGTCCTGACACGTTTGGGCGAAATGGCTTGTTTTCTCTGCAGTTTTTTCTGCTAGACATATATTCCATAAATGCTGGGTCTAAAAGAAATGATGCAATATATAATATTTTGTGTCTGGCTTCTTTCATTCAGTATCTCTGTCTACATCTATCCATCCGTCCATCCGTCCATCCGTCCACCCATCCGAGTCAGGGTCTCTCTGTAGCCCCAGCTGGCCTGAAACTCACCATGTTGGCCAGGCTAGCCTCCACGTCACAGAAATCTGCCTGCCTCTGCCTCCTGAGTGCTGGGAGTAAAGGTGAGCACCACCACGCCTGGCAAGATATTTTTGAGATTCACCCATCATGTCACCATTTGTTGATTTTCTCTGATCCGCTGTTTTCCAGTGTATAAACATCCCACAATTTATCCGTTCTACTGTTGGTAGACTGTTTTGAGTTGTTCCTAGGTTTTTTCCATTAATGGTGCTGTGAATATGCTTGTGCGTGCCTTCTAGGATGTTCGTTTCTGTTGGATATATTTTATACATACCAATAGCGTTTTTAGAGTTCTTGTTAACCACCCTTGTCAACCCTTGGAATTATCTGCCTTGAGTTTTAGCCATGGTGTTGAGTGTGAAGTGAGACCCTTGTGGTTTCAATTTGCAGTTTTCTGTTGGCTAATGAGGTTGTTGTCTTTTGTGCTTCCTTGGCATCCTGTTATAAAGTACCTGTTTAAATATTATGTCTAACTTCCTTTTGGGGTTTATATGTCTTTTTCTTCCTAATTTGTAGGATTTCTATTCCAAAGTCGAGAAAGTAGTTTGCCAACATCAGATTTCTAGAAACAATACTGTTTTGCCTTTCAGATTAAATTATATAGTCCACCTGGAATTGATTTTTCTGTACATGTGAAAAGGAGATTACTTTTCATTTCTACCTAGCATCATTTAAAAATATCTTACTTATTTTTATTTTATGTGCATGAGTGTATTGCCTGCATATAGATAAGTGCATTGTATCCTGCAATGCCCGCAGAGGTCAGAGGAAGGCGTTGGGTCCCCTGGAACTGGAGTTACAGATGGCTGTTAGCTGCCACTTGGGTACTGGGAGTTGAACCCAGGTCCTCTGCAAGAGCAGCCAGTGCTCTAACCGCTGAGCCACCTCTCCAGCCATGTCATTTATTCCTCACTATTTATCAAGGCCATCATTCTCCCTAACGGCACTGCCACCTTTGTCATCGTCTAGTCTTCCCTTGGGGTCATTTCTGTCTAAAGACCATTCTTTAGTGTGCGTTTGTTTGTTGGAGGACTGTGAATCAAACCCAGGGTCTTGCACATGTCGGACATGCAACCACTGAGGGCCATTCCCAGCTTTTGTTTGCTTTGTACTTGCAGGTGTGTGCATGCATGTCTGTATGCCTGTGCACTCAGGCCCTTGGTTGACATTAGGAGTCTTCCTCAGTTGCTTTCCACCTTATACATTGAGGTAGTTTTTCAACTGAACCCAGATCACTCAGGTAGGGTCTCTCAATGGAACCTAGATCACTCAGGTAGGGTCTCCCAACTGAACCACGATCACTCAGGTAGGGTCTTTAAGCTGAACCTAGATCATTCAGGTAGTGTCTCTCAACTGAACCCAGATCACTCAGGTATCTCTCTCAACTGAACCCAGATCACTGAGGTGGGGTCTTTCAACTGAACCCAGATCACTCAGGATCTCTCAACTGAACCCAGATCACTCAGGTGGGGTCTCTCAACTGAACCCAGATCACTCAGGTGAGGTCTCTCAGCTGAACCCAGATCACTCAGGTAGAGTCTCTCAACTGAACCCAGATCACTCAGGTGGGGTCTCTCAGCTGAACCCAGATCACTCAGGTAGAGTCTCTCAACTGAACCCAGATCACTCAGGTGGGGTCTCTCAGCTGAACCCAGATCACTCAGGTAGAGTCTCTCAACTGAACCCAGATCACTCAGGTGGGGTCTCTCAGCTGAACCCAGATCACTCAGGTAGAGTCTCTCAACTGAACCCAGATTTGGCCCATATGGGCTAGTGTAGCTAACCAGCTAGACTGTCTAAGACCTGGAATTACAGGGGGCTGCTACACCCATCTGGCATTTATGTGGGTTCTGGGGATCCAAGCTCTGGTCCCCATGCTTGCATGGGAAGCACTTTACCTACTGAGCCAGTCCCTGAGCTACTTTTTTAGACAAGAGTCTTGTATGTAGTTCGAGTTGGTCTAGAACTCAGTAGCCAGACCATCCTGTAGGTCATCATCTTTCTGCCTCTCCCTCCTGGGTGTTGGGATTCCAGGTGTGCACCACCAGGCCTAACCGCTTTAGTATTCCTTATTATTGTATGTGCTGCTGGTGACAGATTCTTAGAGTTCATTTGAAAATGTTATTATCCTTCACCTTTTTCTGTCTTACAGTGTTATTGAGATATAGTTTGTGTATCATAAAGCATCCATTAAAGCATGCAGTTTATTGGTTTCTAGAATACTCACAGAATTCTGCAACCATTACCACAATTTAATTTTAGAACATTTCCCTCCACTTTAAAGGGTCTTTTCATTAATTACAGAATTTGTGATTTGCCATTGTGTAAGCATTTTCCAGCTGTCTCATAATCTGACTTGATGGTTCCTATTGAGAAGTTATTTATTATATTTGTCCTCCTATGACAGTGGCTTCCCTTTTTCTGGTTGGCTCTTTGTTTTGAGACAGGGTCTAGCACTGTATGTAGCTCAGGCTGGCCCAGAACTCACTCTCATTCAGGCTGGCCTCAAATTTATCCTACCTGACTCTGGCTGCTTCTTACCTGCTGTCTTTGCCTTTGATTGTCGATAATTTCTCTATGTATTTTTTTTTTTTCTGCAATGAAGTCTTGCTGTGTAGCCCAGGCTGGCCTTGAACTGGAGATCTTCCTGCCTCAGCCTCCCAAGTGCTGGGATGACAGATGTACAACACTACAATCCCTTGTATGTTTTCCTTTTATGATTGGGGTCCTGGGGCTCCTTGAAGCTGTGGTTCCTGTCTTAATAGCTTTGGAAGTTTTCAGCCATTAGCACTCTGATACTGCTTTTCCCCCATGTTCTCTTACCTTTGTGTCTATGACTACAGTTATTTTTTGTCAGACCATTTCTATGTGCCTCTCTCCTTTGTTCTTTGTATTTTTCTCTTTCTTCTTTATCTTGGATATTTGATTCATCTCTCCTGCTATAGATAATTTGTTACTGAAACTATCCATTTGATTTTTAATTTCGGTTTTTATGTTTTTAAAGTTCAATCTTTCTTTTATAGTTCCTAATTATCTGCCCCAAATTTCGTTTTGTCTCTTAGCACCTTGAACATTGTAAGCAGTTATCTTAGTCTATCTGATTATGGCAGAGTCTCTGGATCATTTTCAGCATTTAGTCCTGTTGATTTTCATTCATAGCCCTTTTCTCCTTATGTGCCTCGTGTTTTTCTTTTGTAATATGTGCTGTCATATTTACAAAAAGTGTAGAAAAAAAAATGGAGGCAAGGATACTGCTTTCCTAGAGATAGCTCCCACTTGCTTTTGTCAGGAAAGTAGGGCCACTTTGGGGTTTCCCTGGTACAGCCCCAGGGACTGTGATGCTTCTGAGGACATCCTATTCTCACCCCTGCCCCTAGTGTTCACCTCTTCACCAGCACCTCCACCCCAGACCAAGCCATCATCCTCTCTCCAGAATCACCTTTAGGGAAGAGCTCCTTCCCAGTTCTGAC